TTACCTGAGAGTGGAATAATGGTTAAGTCTGTGACAGCTGAACATATTTAAGGCTGCCAGTTGTCATTAGAGTGTGGATTTTTGTGCTGTAAAGAAGCTCGATAAGTTAATTGTTCTAAGGAGAGCTGTATAGCAAATAAATACTTTTGTTCCACTACACTTGCCTTGGTCCATCTCACTGTGTTTCCAGCCGCTAAGGGCTGCCCTGTTACAGTTACTAACCCAATTTTATTTTTTTTATAGTTATTTATAGTTATTATAAACACTTTTTACACTAATTTACTGGCATCCAGTAACCTGTTTACAGTGTAGGATTTCTTGACATCAGCCACTTCCTCTGTTTTTTGATGGTGCACTCCATGCAGGTGCCTGCTGGTTCATGATAGCTCTTCTTCCTGATCCTCATAACTGTCTGTCTTCAGCTGTCAGCTTCAGCTCTATCCTCCTGATGTACGTCTCCATGTTTCATCCTGATTGTGGCTCTGACACTCACTTATGTTTGCCCTCTTTTCATTGCTCATAGAACCCCAGGATGCTGGACTTTGGGTGGAGACTCTGTGCATTGTGAGGAATTTTTCAAAACATTGGCTCTGGAAATGAGGATGCACCTGAAGTCACCAGTGGTGAGAAATTGTTTTTTGTGCCAAACATTTTGATGACCAGAAAAGATTAAAGTACTTCAAATTAGTAGTCACAAGAAATGTTGGACTAACTGTTGAAGGAAATTTCTTTAACTGCTTTGACAAAAGTGTAAAGCTTAGGTTACACTTGAAAAACTGGAAATACACTCTGAGCTTCTGTGAGTCGAGCTGGGGGAAAGGAAACAGGTTTCAAACAGCTAAAGGATGTTCTGAAAGTGTTTATGTTCTTCAGAACCAGAGCCACTTTGATGAACAAAAAAGAAAAACCCCAGTAAATTTTCCATGCCACATTCACCATTCATTCAATTTAATGGATTCAATTGTGCACCGGTGCAAAACAGGGCAGCACGTAACTAATGACATTATCAGTATTCAGCAGTGACTAATGTGGTTTCGGTTGGTGTCGGTCTGAGAAGTTACAGCAGACTGTGTGCAAAACAAGATAATATAATTAATAGATAGATGTGAATTGTTTGTCTGATTTTTTCACATTAATCAGTTTTATAACAGATTTCTGTTGGTTATTGTTATTTTCTCTGAAAGATTACAGAACATTACTTTAATATATGTATTTATAAATCAACCCATGCTTTTACACGTTGCCGCTAGTCAAAACACCCGTGCATGATCAAAGGTTTTGCTATAGAACAAGTTGTGTCTGTGTCTGCCTGTGTTAGCGCTCGTTTCGTTGAGGTGTGGTCATTTGACCAGACCAGTGTGGACTGGTTCATTGAGCTTGTTATGACTGAATGAGGGAGGAGCGTAAAACTCCCCAGCAGGCATCAAGTGACAGCTGGGAAAATACTGCATGAGCAATAATGATCTCGTTTTGCTTGAAGCAAGTGGATACAGAGACATTGATGAAGGAGGGGTGACGAACAAGTTGAAGGACGAAGAGGTAAAATAATAATGCATTGATGAACAGATGAACAAAGAGTGTTATTGAAGATGTCTGCACTGAACACTTATACATATATACATCACAAGCAAACTATGTGCTGAGGACATTTTTCCCTGTATAACATTTAATAGTTGACAAGAAACACCACTGAACTAATCTGTGACACATGGCTGTGTGGCAGGCAGAGTTAGGACCCAATCGAAGGATCCAGAAACAAAGGAAGTAAAACAAAGGAGGCATTTGCTGTTAAATGAGACTCAAGAGTACAAACATAAAAAAACCTCAGGAACAAGAAACAAATAACTAGGACTAAATGGTAAATACTGAATGTTACTGAGCAGCATGCAAATCCAACAGCCGCGCCACCCACCTGGAAAGAGCTGAGGAGAGCTCCAGACGTGGGGTCACCCAGCAGCCATGGAGCAGAAGCCACAGCGGGCTGCAGTGACGTGCCTGCATGGACCATGTCAAAATCACTGATCACTATCAAAATGATCACTGTTCATAGAGCGGTGAACACACAAGTTATCAATGACAGGACTTTACATTTTATTTGGAAAAATAAACCTGCCATCATTCACCATATATTATAGAATCACAGATGTTAATGGTTATTAGACTCTTTCAGTATTTGGAAAATCCACTTCTGAGTGAAGTCTCAGTAAAATTATACTGAAATCATCAAGTATTTACAAACAATACCTGTCATTGCCTCAGTATCCGGGTGTTATTATAATGAGGAAATAATATTATTGTACAGCCTGAGTAGTTTTTTTTTTTTTATGTTTTATCTAGGTTAAAGCTGTTTTTAATATTTCCCTAGTCTCTCCAATAAAATCACAACACTGTCTAAACAGGCAGAATAAAAATGCTAATCTTTGTGGGACCCTGTGTCTCCTTGGAATTCACTGAAGTAAGTCCTCCAGATGAAGGATGTGTCTGTCTGCCCCTCCACCCAGGATTTCCAACAGCTTGTTACTTTGATTAATTCTCTCTAATCAGTCAAGTTCATTCGCATGGGTTAGAAATGAAGGCAATCACCTGAAGAAGAACATGTGCATACTGTATGTAAGCGTATGCATGGCTCCATGTGGATGGTTTAAGCTGATTTTCACGGAAACACTCATTAACCTGGTGGTTTGATAGCTTTCTAATTAATAGTATTTATAATGTGGCATAAAAATCAATTAATTTCTGCAAGTATGAACTGTTTCTACGATGAATAAAACAAGCTGTTATTAATGTCATTAATGTAAAAATTGGCTAAAAGAAAAAACATTGTGTATGACTTAGCTGACAGTGTTACACACTGAAATAAAAGTTCTGAAATAAAAGTTACTCCATTATAAACACATATTCCACAATCAACACTATCTTCCACCAGAAAACTACCATGTCATCTCTAATGGATAATTGTAGTTTTAAAGTAAAGTAAGTCTGGCAGCTTTGTGTGTAGTGTGTGTAGAATACCTGCACATTAGTGCTACATAACAAAATAAAGGTACCAGAAAGGACAAATAGAGTCAAGAGGAGGATTTTCTGCTAACCCAATTTAAAAGTTTGATTTAACTGAAAGCTTTCCAATTATTTTGCTACAATATAAACTCCATATGAACCTTGGAACCCTGGAAACTTTCCAACATGTTTGTTATGCAAAGATGTCTTTAAACCCAAACGATAAGCTCAAAGAAGTTCATTGCCTAGACCCAGCTAAGTGTGGATAACAGTGAACACACCTCATGTTGTTTAGGAAAGTCTGCATAGGTTGTATCCAGAGGTGGCACAGTATGTGTATTTACTTGTACTTAATATACACGTTATTAGTTTTCATAAGTTTTACTTTTTTACTTTTACTTGAGTAACAAAGTGGAATCTTATTTTGCCACCTCTAGTTTTGTCATGTGATAGAAATATACAACTGAGTCAGTCACTTCGTTTGAACTTATTAAACCTGAGGCATTAACATAGGAGTTATGGGCCTGGGTCTTTGTTGTGTTCCTTAAGCAATTTTTGTCTTGCTGCAGGGGAGCAGCAGCGGGCAGTCGCTGCCTTCAGTTAAAACTGTTGGTGTTGTTGTCAAAGTTACATCAGGGATCAATGCCAGGAATCAAGTAGAACATTGCATCATAGCGAAATGATTATCTGTGGTTTTAATATCGTGGTTGAGGAGAGGAATAAAGGAGCTAATAAACTTCTTTTCGCCTTTTTCTACACATCTGGCCCTCAGGACCTGAAGAAAACCTTTGATTCTTACATTGATGAGAAACCTCTGTGGTCCTAATTAAATAGATACATGATGTGGTGCAAAGAGGCCCTGCTGAGAGCGCTCTCGCACGCCAAGTTTGAGTAGCAATTATGATCATATAGTGAATATTTTCTGCACTTTTCAAATGAAGGTAATTTTTGACCCAAATGAGGTGATTTTTTTACAGTATGTATTTAGTGTCATGATATGAAGCATTGTAGCTGCAACCAGTGAACTTCTTTCACTTCTGAACAAACTTTCTAAACATTAAAATCGGGCTCCATTAATCCCTCATTAACTACAGTGCCTTTGCTCTAATGACCAGATCCCTAAATAGCTCAACTAAGCAGTATTTTGTTTATTTTCTTTTTTTTTTAAATAAATGTGCATTTTAATTAAAGCTATGGATGGGTGTCCAGAGCTAATAAGCCGTATGTGAATGAGACCCCACCTTAGAGGGCAAATTCTTAGCTGAGAAAATCCATTTAATGTGTTCCACAGCTGATTACACGGTATTATAGATTTAACCTGTGACTGTGAGGCACACGAGTGTTTTTTTTTTTCAGGGCAGTTCTTTACATTAATAGCTTTCATCCTTATTTAAGTATGAGTTGTAATTTGATATAATGACTCGTGAATTTAAGCTCACCTTAAGGAATTTCTTCTCTCCTGATATGGACTCTAATTATGTCGTATCATTTCCACCTCCTGCGAAAGAGATTAGAGAGATTCTCTTTGTGTATTTTTTTTTCTTACTTATCCACTTAAAATGTAATTATAGTCACATTTTTCTAATTATGTTGTTTATTTTACCTTCTGTGTGCTGATATTCCGGTTCCAGAGCTGAATTAGCCTTTTGATGATGCTAATGTCTGCATGGATGAAAACAATTTGCATCGGAGCTTTTAAACCCTGAGTGTCTGACTATCCCTCTCATTTTGGATACTCAGCAAAATGGCATCATATTACATCAGCCATGCAAGACATCCTCCTCATCCTCCCTGCTCTGCGTTTTATCTCCAAAATGAGTGAGGGCGTCACACTCATCCTGAGGTTGGGAAGTTTTTGAGATTACTTTATCAAAGATCAAACTCTTCCTCCACTTTTTTTTCTCTCTCTCTTTTTTTTATCAGGGAAGAATTAGAGAGGAAGTCAGAGGACTGCATGTCACACGTAAACCTACAACATCAGAAGCATATAGCACAGAATGCTTCCTTGTGTGTTGATCCATCAGGGCGCTCCATTGAGCCAGGGAATGAAATATTCCTTCACCCCTCACCAAGCACAACAAACCTTCAGTAAGTTTGTCATCGGTGTCACGTGCGCGGCGACGTTATCGGCACCTTAGATAGCAATGCAGCACATAGTGACACACATGAGAGAGGGAGCATATAATGAGGTCTGCATTACACATGATACATGTATTACATTCAGCTCTATAATAAGACCCAGTGAGAAAACTGCAAAGGAAGGAGGCCTTGCTGGCTGCAACTGGAGACTTTCCTCTGCGTACTTTGCGTTCTAATTTCTCCTTTCTTTCCGTGCCCTGACATCTTCACTTTCCTCATTTTCCCGTATTGAATGTCTCGCCATATTCCTCTTGTCGCTCTCTTTCTAAATGGTATAATAAGCAGATCTTTTATTGCTCTCCTCCCGCTCCCCATATCATTTCATCTTTTTTCTCCTTTTCTCTTTACACGTCTCCCTCCTCATTTTCTCACAGCTGTCACCACTATTGTCTGCTCCTCTCTAATTTTGTCCTCTTCCCTTCGACTCTTCTCTAGTTACTTATCTCTCTTCCTTACCCAGTTTTCATCTTCTCCAGTAACCGCGGCGCACAGTACCAAATTGCGACGCACTAGTCTCTATTTAAGCAATTAGAAGCAGTGATTGGGTTAAAATTGCTGCGTAGTTCGGCAGTTCTCGTTGACGACTGAGTGCTCATTTATTTGCCCAGGCTGTGCGAGAAAAATGCAAGCGTCCAGGACATTCATTTAGTGTTTGTAAAGTGTCGCTGCAGAGAATGCTGGTTAATGTTTGGCATTCATCCTTTTTCTTATTGGTTTATAATTTAAAGGTGGCATTTCTTGACAAATGCTGTATTGGCCCAACCAGTCTCTACCAGATTTTTCTAGGTTCAAAGGTATATGAACAATTTCTGTAATTATACCTCTGTGCATTCCCCACAGTGGTTTAAAAGCAACAAATCAAACAGTCAAGCTGTGCTTTACTGACAATTCCTATGAACAGCTACCAAATGCAAGTCTTATTTCAAAATACTGCAGTACTCTTTGTCATTCAGTTGCTTTTTCTGAAAATGGTAGATCTTTTGCTTGTAAGCAAAAATGTTAACCACTCCACAATGGAGCCACTGCTTGGAATTCCTTTGTATATCAGCAGAACATGAAGAAGATAAAGACTATGTATGTATTCTATAAAAATATGATGAAAACAGCTTCAAAATTAGGTCACTTTGCTATAGAAATAAGGTTTAGAAAGCATACTTACATTACACATTTGCAAACTGAAACAATGCCAGGTACAACCAAGGTGCTGACACAATCAGCGTCTCTGGTCCCTCCTGAGCACTGAATTGTACAGACATCTGAAGCCAACAAGAAGAACAGTAAGACAGTTTTAATGGTTTTCATGTGTAAGTGCAACAACCTGACTGACTCATGTTTCCTGTTCCAAGTTTTGATTGGCTCTTTTGGGGGCCAGCAACTTTACCATTAAAGAATTTTCTCATACAGTTTTATTCAGGATTCTTTGTCTGTGGTTTAATCTGCTGTGAAATCTACAGAAGACAACAGAAGAGCTGAAATTGGGCAGAAATGCTTCCTCGGTCTTGGTCTGTGCTCTTTATTGTAGTATGAAATAAATTGTGTCTGAAAATACAGAAGCTTATTCTTTCCTTTTTGCACTTGTGGACAACACGAAATGTTACTAAGGGCTGTCACTCGTCTGGGCAACACTTTGATGAACCTGGATTTTGTAGAAAG